GTGAAACGAAAGCAGGGACACGAAGACATGTTGTGTGAAGACAGATTCGATCATATTCTTCCGTGGTTAAAACCCTTCCGGCAAAACATGTTCGCCATTCGGCTTTCACATGATACGGTGGCGGAGGAGGAGGAGGAGGACGGCAACGACGGCAAGAAGAAGAAGAAGAGCAGTGACGACGACGACGACGACGACGACGACGACGACGAACACCACCACCACGACCACCACCACCACCACCACCACCAACAACAACAACAACAACAACCACAACCACAACCACAACCACGACCACGACCACAACCACGACCACCTGGCTTGGACTAGAAGTGGATTCTCCTCAACGAGACCGAGCTCAGGCATGTAGCATGACAAAGTGCACAATCCCATTGCAGTCAAGCTGCACATGTCCAGTGACATGCGGAAAAAGCTCTGCATTCGGTGAATTCTTGCTGATGGCTTCTAATGCCCAGCTGTGACCTGATAGCGCGACAATGGTTTCAGAGACATGTATAATATAAATGCGCTTATCACCGACCTTATGGCCTAGTCAGTCCAACCATGCCAATCATTCAAAATAGTTCCACTTCACAAATGGTCTCCCTTGACTTTCCAGGCAACTCCCCCAAGCCGCCTAAGATGCAAAGGCAAAGGATGCTCTGGACACCTCATGCGCTCTCACCCTGTGACCCTGTGGGCCATCAGGTGCACCCATTCTACATGAATGATCATGATCAAAGAGCGAAGACGGCAGTTTGAAGTGCACCTGCCAAATGGTCCACCGGGGGACCAGAACAAGAGCAAGAAGAAGAAGAAGAAGAAGAACAACAACAACAACAACAAGAAGAGCCAATCAGCTTCCATTCTTCAAAGTGCAGTCGGGATGCCCATATTTATCATGACGTGGGCATCATGCATGCACTTGCTGGCAAGTCCGATCCCACGGATGTTTGATGCTCCTGGTCGTTTGTGTCTTTTTCTCTGCTTGTACTCCCTAGGTCCCTATATTTATAAAGTGGTCTGATACAGCAGTAGAATCAGCAGCGGGTGGAACGTTGTGCGTGGACCCTGTATATCCGTGCATCAGATGCCTATGGCGAAATACTCCTTGGGTCAAAAGTCAGCTACGTTCCACTTAGCGTAAGCTTGGCAATTGCTTTGAGCACTTGGACTAGGACCATGTACCATATACATCCATATACCATGTTGGTCGCGGTCTCTCTGTGGCCCTCTTGTCGGCCACGGCCCGCTCTACAGCTGAAGCCAATTTGTCGCAGGTGCGGCGACATTTTAACTTTGACAAACATGAGTGATCATGAGACTTGTTGCATTTGGGCCCGGGCACGTGTATTTCCATAAGATTCTATCGGCCCAAAGCTGAACTGATTGCATGTTGGTTGGCAGGTGACCGCTGGCGCCTCAGAACTGCGGAGCTCTTCGCAGAGCTACCTTTTCAAATCTTTTCACCCGCCAAACCCTCCAGATCCAAGGAACCAAGCGAACCCAGCGAACCCAGCACCAGTGCACCCTGCACCTCCGCCGGTGCTCTGGCAGTTAAGTCAGCTTCCCAGGCCCGAAGCCTCAAGCTGTGACCCAGAATCCGTATGCATGTGTCAACCAAATTTAGGACAATTGCCTATATAGCTGAACTCCTTTGACTTTGATGAAACAGGACGTAGAAATAATTACTTAGACTCACGATGCAAATGTGGGCTGAACCTAGCTGAACACAAGGTCTTGCGTGGAAATCTTGATGTTTTTTAATCCTGTCTTGGTCTTGCAACTTAGATCAGGGAAACCTTTCGGGTGCAGTAAGACGTGGACACACGGTTGGTTTACAGAGGTTTAGATAGCTTTGCCTCGTCAACCTTCACTGCCGCCGTGACACATGCTGCGTATCCACGAAGTCACCTCATGGGAGGCTTCATCCAACTTCTTCTGGGCCTGGCGATTGCTCTAAGATCGACCATCAAATGGACACTGGTGTGGGGATCCCCAGTTTCGAATACTTCCATTATGAAATGTCGTCTACATCCCCAAGTTACAGAAATCTACTATCTCGCATTTCTTGCCTATCAAGCTTTGATGTCCTCAATTATCCTCACATATTTTCTGGTTCTCTTCCTATTCATGTGTGATTCGTACTTCTAATCCATTTCATAAATACCATCTAATACACTGGTTCAGTATAGTACCCTCTGTGGTGGATGATTAGAGTATCCTATTGGTCGCAATAGTTTAAAATTAATTAATTGGACATTATATGATTATAATTATTATAATTGACATATCCTCCAATTCTGGTGGATGCTTGGAATATTGGTATATATATATAAAAATGCGTGGGTATATGTTATATGACATATATGATGATATATGATGTATCTATGCGCGTGGAATGTTAGATACTCAGCAGCCAAAACTTGCCTCCTCCGCTTCCTTGTCTTTGTCGGTCTGCTGTCCAAGCACTGCCGCCAGCCGTGGACCTGGAGGCATCATCTCGTCATGTAGAGGGGAGCAACTGAAGTTCAACTGAAGCAATCAAGTTGGGATGATAGACACAATTAATTAAGGATTAATATGGAATAATATGGACTAATCATGGCTCGTACTGGGCACGTGACATCATTTTTCTCTATTTGTCTGTCGACATGGAAGGTTGGCTCTCTCTCTCTCTCTCTCTCCATTGCCTTCAGACCAAGTCTGCCTCAGCCTAACTGAGGGACGAGACACAGGCAGGTTCATTGCACTGCCAAATTCACGTGAAACAGTACCGGGGTTGGCTAGTTCATACTAATTAATTATGAGGGTCCCGGAAGATTGGCATGTTTTCCTGCGACCGAGTTAAGTTTGCTGACCGCATGTATCCATGGAAAATAGCATATGACTGGACACTCCCAATGAAAGAAAAAGATCTGCTACAACTCGTGGTGCGGGGGTCATTGAAGCCCTAGTTTAAATTCTCATGCTGGATTTTGCTTGATGTGATTGTCACATCAGAAGGGTGTTGCTGGCTGTGATCGCAAGTTACTGAGACTCTGTTGATGTATGATGCTGTGAATGGGCCGCCAGTTGCCCAGTCGCCCAGTGGAAGGTCGCTGCTGCCTTTCTCTTTGGATGATATATTGGATGATATACAGTACAAAGATGTACAGAGTCTTCGGCAGTCTTCGGAACAATCTGGCTTAGTACTTCCCTTAGAAGAAGGCCAAGCATGGCCAAACAATTGCCGAACACACGCGCACACACACAATCACACACATACGTGCATCCAATGTCAATTGACCGCAATCAATGTTCTGTTGCCATCAGGTTTTCTGATTCTGTCTGGTTATACCAGGCTGTGAAACTTCTGTCACATCCACTTCCAGAAGATCATCGCACCTTCTTCCTCTGAAGCGCTATCTTGTTCCACATCAGGCTCCTTGGTCCGAGCCCTGTGGCATTGCTATGACCCGATGGCAGTACAAAAGGTTTCCATTACAAATTGAATAATGGACAGATATGGATAGATAATGATAGATATACTATATACATAGATGGCAATGGCATAGGATTGGCTGCTTCGCCGCTTACTTCACCACTTAGGCACCCGGCATGTCTAGACACGGTGCCTTCCAAAGCTGCAAACTCTGCGTCCTGCGAGTCTGGACAGCGACAAATTGAGGATATGCCTATGGGAGACGTGGCGTGGAGATGGGATCAGCTTCATGGAGCCATATTTGGCCGTTTGGCCACCCCTAGATGATCAAACATGATCAAACAAACTCATAAAAACTGATGATCTGAAAACATAACAGTCATACAGTCATTGAGTGATAATAACCGTGACAATCATGACAATCATGACAATCATGACACTTCAAAAACGTTTCAGCTGGAGACCGCCCAAGATGGTCCGTTTCAAGAGTTTCCTTTTTGAGGAACCCGTGCCTAGTGAAGCGTCCCCTGGCCTCGGCATCCACGATGTCTGTTCCGCGGATGCCACCCGCAGCCTAACATCTGGGCTTTATGCCGAGTTGCGGGAAAGATTCATCGATGTAATGATAGATAATGCATGATAATGCCAGGCATTGCTAGATCCTGCTAGATATTGCCATAGATAGAAAGGTAGATAGAGATAGATAGAGATAGATAGAGATAGATAGAGATAGATAGAGATAGATAGAGATAGATAGAGATAGATAGAGATAGATAGAGATAGATAGAGATAGATAATCATTAGATATAGACAGATTCGATTGGATTGGATTGGATTGGATCAGATTAGACTGGATTTGGTTAGATTGGATTAGGTTACAGAGGCTAAATTGGAGTAGAGCAAAGTAGGTTACAGATGGTTACAGTAGATTTGAGTAGGTTATCGTAGAGAGCAGAGTAGATTAGTGATTAGAGATGATGAGAGTAGATTGGAGTAGATTAGATGGATAGATACTTTTGACTGCTTGATAGATGGTTAGAGAATGATATAGATTGAGTGATTGCTAGATAGGCAAACAGGTTGATAGACAGATAGACAAACAGACAAACAAATAGGCAGAAAATAATGATCACATATATCACACATTATAAGCATACAAACATTTACATCATTTACATAGAGATAGAGACTTCAGCAGAGATTTCGATACGGTACAGGATGAAGTCATGCAATGATATGGACTGATGGGTACAACTTCTGGATGTCTCAGATGGATTGAAAATTGATTGAACAAAATTGAACAAACATGGGCAAGCTGATGGTAGCCGCCTCCTGCCCAAGATGTTCCAACACCAGCCTCGCGTTCCCGCTGCTGGCGTCGGTCCAAAATCTGCATGACCTCAGATGTGCTAAGATCCGACACCTGAGAGTTTCAAATGCTGTCACTGAACTTTTTAGCAACTGCTAAATCTGCCAAGTGATCTAAGTTATCTAAGTGATCTAAGTTATCTAAGTGATCTAAGTGATCCAATGATCTAAGTGTAAAGCAAACAACCAGGCTCAGTGTCTGCCGTTGTTTCTACTCCGGGCTGGAAAGGCTGGTACAATCGGACCTTTCCTCGGACGTCTCCAAGTCTTCCTCCCTTAGGAGCTGCCAGACCTCTGGTTGTTCCAAGATGGCAGTTTCCAGCCGCACTTGTCGCTCTACCAAGGCTTCAAACATCATCAAGAACATGGCCACTGCACAAACTTGGTTGTCCAACAACCGCTCAGCTTTCTCCAATTCCAGGCTGGACCTTAACTCTTCCATGATCTGTGGCATGGCAGCATCGGCACGATGCAATCGGTTGGACAACAGCTCCTCTTGCAATGCGATCATCTCCCGGCTCTGCTCATCATAAAAGTTTTGCCGCAAGAAGCCCATGGTCAAATGAAATGCCTTTTGACTTCGAAGCCGCAAAGCTCGCAGCTCCTCTGAATGCTCACGCCCCCTTCATGCACTATATCTGCTGAGTTTTGAGATGGAATGCACAAAAATGCGACAACATTAAAGTATCAAGACATCTCAGAAAACCAGGGACCCGTCCTTTCTGAAGCTTCGCGATCTCGTCAGAACTTCCACGGAACGGCGCAAGGACTTCTCCTGGTCGGTGCTGGGGTTCTCAGTGGTGCTCACGATGGTCAAGCATTGCCATGTTTCCTGACAAATATTCATCACCCGGTTCCACAGCTCGTACCGCCATGGGACACCCAAACACCGTGGCTCGCGCGCAGCCTCCAAGCCGTCTGCTGCAGCGGCGCGTAGGTAACTGAGCCCTTGTTTGCGCAGTTCCAATGGTTTTGTCCTGTTGCTCACAGGATACCTCTCGAATGCTTCATCCACAATTTGGATGAAACTTTGCAAGTTGGCAGTGGCGCGGATACTCAAAGACTTGTCGGCAACAAGGTCAGTCAACGTGGCAATGACTATTGCCAACAACTGGCTCAGAATGTCTTGGTATTCGGATCTGCGTTCTTGCCTGACCCCGCCTGGCTCCTGCAGGACCCTCAAAGCGTCGAAAGGGCGCAAGGTGGAAATGGCATAGAAGCAGGAGAACATGAGCCCAACATAGAAAAAACGCTGTGAGGAAAAGTACACGAACAAAGCTGTGATTTCAAAACAGAAGTACAGCAGCAAGAAAAGGATAGTGGCTCCATTCCAGCTTATAAAGGGCTGCAGGCTGGCACAGGTACCCACAGTCAGGGTGCCCAACATTGACCCTGCCGCAACTCCGATGAAACGATCCATGTTCTTTTTTAATGCAGCAGCCTGATTTCCGCCCTGAAAAATCAGATACGCCACAGTGCCCGCTGGAGTGGCATTGAAGGCAGGTACAAAAGAACCGCTGTCCATGTGAATTCCAAGCCTGCCAAGCACAAAACACGTACTGAAAGTCAGCATGAGCTTCAACACAGTTAGCACAGCATCACAACTTCTTAGGTCAGCTCCAGGTAAGGCCAAAACACCCTGCCAAGCACCACAACAGGGTCCCACTGCCACAGTGGCAGGGTCAAACTCCGCCATTGCAAGCAATAAATCTGCAACCTTCTGACTATAACCGCTGGCACTGGACGCCAAGGCAAACCAAGGTAAATGTGCGGAAGAGAAGAAATGCTGCCAGGATCCCTCATGAAGCAACCTTTCTCTCACTGCGTCATGTGCATTTATCTGGGCATCTGCTAATTCCGTGAGCCAAAATCCCAAGCGCTCTTCCGTTGCCGCATCCAGGTTCCCTTTTGCAGCTGCTGTGGCGGTCTGTTGCAATGCCCCTTTGGTGCTGTAGATGAGCTGAAGGATTTCCCGTTGATTGTCCAAAATATTTGGTGAATTGTCACCATCTGCGACATTGGCATGCTGCACTGCCATCACCATTGACTCAAGCCAGTCATTCAGAAAGTCAATGCTATGACACATCTCCAGCAGCATCAGTCGCGATCGACCAGACACGCCAAGATCAAAACACTCCTCAGTGTGTGAATATGTTCGACAACTTGAACACCCCACTAGTCGTAAGTACTGTAACTTTGCTGCTCACCTCGCGCAGTCTCCAGCCAAAGTCCACCAGTCCATCAACAGTCCGTCAACAGCAGAATGCTATACCCTCTACATCCCTCTACTTGACTCTATCTGCTGATCTTCATCTTGCAAACATTATTTGAAAGCACATACACTCCAAAAAGTATGATGCACGAAGTATCAACCGTTATCAACCAATCAACCAGTCAACCAATTGTGGCGCCCAGGTTCCCACCAACTGTTCTTCAACAGCTCCCTGATCTCTTCCAAGTCCTGTTGCAGGTGCTGCACCTCCACCGCAAAGACCGAAGCCGCCTGCGGTCGCATCTTCAACGCACCCATCTCCACCAGCTGTTGGAGGAGCCGGCCATGGGACCAACTCAGATCCACCATGAGGTCCTGCCAAATGCCGAGAAAATCAAGAAACGGCCGAAATATGGCGAAATGGAAAGGAATCGCCATTCATCTGAGGTTCATCCTTAGCCTCCTACTCAGCATCACTCAATGCTCAAGACGGTCAATA